CATCCCATCCCATCCCATCCCATCCCATCCCATCCCATCCCATCCCATCCCATCCCATCCCATCCCATCCCATCCCATCCCATCCATCTCACTCCTGTACTGAGTGTTTGCAGCAGAGCCCCCACAGCCCTGCCAGGGCACAGCCCCCACCTCTGCCCACCCCTCTGGGCACCCCCAGCCTGGAGTGGGGAATATGGGGAGGGGAAACATCCCTGAGGGGCAGAGCTTGCTGGTTGCAGCACCCCTTGGGAATCTCCAGCATTCCAGCCAGAGAGGGGACCAATCCACCCTCTGGACATGCCCTGCAGTGAGCTCCCTGAAATTCAATTTGCCTCCTGCAGAAAGGGAAGAGCTGAGTCAGCCTGGCTGGATGTTTTTAAGTGGATAGAAATGCTGTGATGTATTTCAGGTCTTGTGCCTGGGATTTGTAGCCATTCCCAATGGAATTATTTTAGCATATGCTTGAAATTAAAAGTAGTTGGAGCAGACATCACTAGAGCAGGAATTATGCATCCATTGGCTAAAAGTGAATTTGGAAGCATCCATTGGCTAAAAGTGAATTTGGAAGCATTTGTATTTACACTTCTTCACTGGTTTAAAAACTGCCAGTGGATTTTTGCAGAGGCAGGAAGGGACCAGGAACAACCAAACCACCATGTGTGTCCTCACTGCTGGCACTTCCCTGGGAGCAGAAGAGCTGAAGAGATGGGCTGGAAGATGGGGAGCAGGATGAAGGCTCCATCCCTGCCTGCAGCCACCTCACTGAGGGGCCGTCCCACCTTGTCCTGCTGCCATGGGAGGTGCCAGTCCCACCGTCCCCTTGTCACAGGAGGTGCTGATCCAGCCTCTCAGGTGGGACAATCGGTACTTTGTGCTCTGGGGACAGACAGCAGCAACCAGAGACTTGATGTCCTGGAACTGCACTGCCACCATCCTTCTGGTCTAAACGTCACCCCTGTGACGTTAGCCATTACCAGGCTCCTGGACTTTGTTCCTGGTGTGGGAATGGCTGTCACCTCTCTTGGCAGAGTGCAGTGTGAGAAAAATTAATTTTGGGGAAAGAAAGATGCCGGGAGAAAGATGCTGTGGGAGGTCCAGGCAAAAGGGCTCAGACAGGGCACTGTTGTGCCAGTCAGGGTTTGGCAGGAGGAACAGCCCAGGAGCAGGGGGTGCCCTGGGGCTGGGGGGAGCGTGGCTGCCACATGGCCTGAGTGGGAGAAAACTGCTTGTCTGCCCCAAACTGGCTGCTGGGGAGGGGGGGAAATGAGCCACCGGCTCTTCCTGCTCCCGGTCCTGCTCTTTGCCATGGCAAGTGCAAGGACCACGCTCCCTTTCTCTGGCTTTGGGCACTGTAGAGGCAGATGTGCAGGTGCTGCTGGGGGCACCTCTGCTTCCCGGCCAGGCATTCCAGGGCAATGCCGGGCAGGCGGCAGCGCCGGGGCCGAGCAGGAAATGCAGCTTTTTTTGTGAAAAACCTAAACCCAGTATACTTCAACCGAGGCTTTCCTCCCCCTACGGATTTATCAGCTCTCTCTTCCCGCCGTGGTGTTCCTGCAGGGAGGGAGGCACACCCCAGGCTTGGGAGGGGTGTCGTGGTGCCGGCAGGGCTGGGGCTCTCAGTGCCGTGCCCTGACGCTGCCTCTGCCCTGCAGCCTCCCCGTTCATCATCGCCATGCTCCTGGCCAGCCTCAACAGCTGCTGCAACCCCTGGATCTACATGCTCTACACCGGCCACCTCTTCCACGACCTGATGCGACGCTTCCTCTGCTGCTCCACGCGCTACCTGAAGTCTCAGCCGGGGTGTGACCTGAGCAAGAAGAGCAACTCCTCCTCCTTCGTCCTCAGCTGCAGGAGCACGAGCCAGAGGAGCTTCGCTCACCCATCCACGACGTGAGGCATCACCAGCCGGGACCTTGTGCCGCCGACTTGCTGCTTCCAGAGCTTCCCTGTGGAAAACTGGGACCCGGCCGTGCTGGAGAGTCTGTATAAATAGGTGTATATATGTCTGTAAGCATGTACAGCAGGCGTTATTTAACTGAGACGAGTGGAGGAGGAATTCTGTGCCCAGGTTTCAGCACTGCCTGGATTGGACACCAGGAATCTGCTCCTGAGCCCCAAACTTCAACATTGGCGGCTTGTGGATGCCACTGGGAGGGACAGGTTTTGCCCCAAATGAGCCCACGCTGCTGGGGCAGGTGCACTGCATCCCTGTCGGGGGGAAGGGGCTGCAGCACAGAGTCATGGGGGACTCTGTGGGGACACAGGGGTGGCACAGGTGATGGGTGCCACCTCTAGTACATGGTTGGGCACTGTCCCCCTCCACCTGATCCCGTGGGATCCCGTGGGATGCCAGTGCCTGGCACTGCGCTCTCAGCACAGATACACTTGCTTCACTTGCAGCCTGTCGGGCAGAGGCAGCCTCACCCCTGCATCCCTGCATCCCTGCATCCCTGCATCCCTGCATCCCTGCATCCCTGCACTGTGTCAGCCCTGCTCCCCTGCCCAGAGGCACAGAGCAGGGCACTCCTGGGGGCAGTGGGGACCAGCTTTGCAGGGCACAGTGCTGTGGCATGGGGATCCCTCCCCCAGCTCTGTTCCCTGTGCCCAGTGAGGCTGTGCAGGAGTTTGGAGGAGCCTGGAGCGGGCATGGCTGGGGCCATGGGTGTGGGCAGTAATGCCAGGCTGAGTGTGCTCAGCAGCTTCTCTGTGGCAGGTGTGTGGGATCCGAGCTGGGCTCTGTGGGGCTGTGACAGGGACACTCCTGTCAAATCCCCGAGGCCGGGCTTTGCTCTTCGGTCACCACACATCCCACAGAGTCTTCCACCATTCCAGTGCCATTGCTTTGCTCTGTAACACACAGGGCATGCTCACAGCATGGATTTTTATTGTTAACAAATATTGTAAATAAAGTTTTCTGACTGTGTCTGTGGAAAGCAGGAGGGAGGTGTGGGAGGAGCACCGGGCTGAGGGAAGGAAGGGGCTGTAACACAACAGCCAGGTGTGCTCAGCACAGCGACAGCACCGCCGGTGGAGCACTGCCTGAGCACTGGGATCTGGGCCTGTGGAGCACTCCCTGAGCACTGGGATCTACCCCTGTGAAACACTGCCTGAGCACTGGGATCTGCACACCCCAACATTCCCCAGCACGGAGCTGGAGAGGGACACAGCTGGGGACGTGCAGCTCTCAAAGGGTGATGTGATCTGGGTTTTCGTGTTGGGAATTAATATGAAAAATGCATTTAAAAGTGTCCTTTATTTTTTCACTGTCACCAGCAGGTGCATTTGCACCTTTCCTGTCCTGACATCCCTTCGATTTTTTTGTGGGAGCTCTAAGTGAGCTCTCAGCACTTTTGCTGACTGGTATAAATCCTTAGGACACTATACAGCATTTTCCTCCTACGTTCACCTTCTTTCTCCTTGAGAGTCACTAACTCCTGCATAAAACAAGGAATAGGGTCCCCTTTTCTTGTGAATCTGGGGGCCTGCTGCTCCCTCCATCCAAGGACTAGAGGGAACATGGCCATAGGTGTTACTGGGATGGATGCCCCGAGCAGAGAGGGAGCTTTGGGAGAGGCAGGGAGTTGCCCTGCAGCCCTGGCTGCAGTGCCCAGCAGTGGTTGGGCTCAGGCAGGGCCGTGCCCCAGGCCTGTGGTGCTGTGCCCTCTGACTGAGCAGAGCTGCAGGCAGGGACAGGGGGAGCAGCTCCGGGTGTGCCCCGGGGGAGGGATGCTGAATGCATTGCCAAAAAGCTTTTCAGGAGGGTTGAAAGTGAAGCAGAGGTGCTGACAGGTGAGCAGAGTGTGTTCCACGTGCGGGGACCCCAGAGAGCACTGCGGTGGGGACATCAGCATTTTGTGGCTTTTGGGACTCAGGTTGTGAACTACTAGAACAAAAAAAATTAAAAGTAGCATAATCCCATAATATAATTTATTTGGATTAATTTTATTCCCACAGAAAAGCTTCTAAAAATGCTCAAGGTAAAGTGTTTTTTGAGACTTTTTCCCCCTACAAATACCTAAATATCTTTTTTCTTTCTGAATCACTCCATCCATCTCAGCCCTGGGTGTTGCTGGAGCATGGGTGCCATATTGCTGTGAAATAATGGCAGTGCACAATCCCAAGCCCTTGGAAAAGGTCCAGTAGAGAACCTGGCTCCTTCTTGTCCTTGGCATGGCACTAGGGGAGTCTTTGGCTCCAACTCTTCGTTGGAAGCCAAGGAAAAGAGCACATAGATACAATTGAGAACAGCCTCTGAACAATGAGACCTCCTGGGCCCTGGTTCAACAAAGCACTTAAGGCCAGAGCCAAAAGAATGTTCAAGGGCCTCAAATTGAAAGTGTGGCTCTGTCCACTGTCCCTCTGGAAGAGGGATTGACAAATTAATTGACAGCACAAGGGAGGAAATAGCTCTGAATTGGACCTTTTCCCCCTCATCCCCGTTTCCATGTATCCAGAGTGGCCATGTCCAGGTGAAGGATCCTTTCTCTGCTCCCCCCACACATCAGGGTGACCCCGTGGGATGCTGAGGGAAGGGGCTGGCTGGATGTGATCCCCATGGGATGCTGAGGGAAGGGGCTGGCTGGATGTGATCCCCTCCTGCCAGGCAGAGCCCAGAGCTTGGCATGGTCCTGCCCCCTGCAGCCTCCATGGCTCCATCCCAGGGCACAGAGCAGAGGGACAGCCCTGACCGTGTGGGATACACACACTGCTGTGGCTGAAGCTTCCCTGACACTGGCTGAGGGTGTGTAGTAAAGATTCTCCCTGAGGAACAAGCCAAAGCTTTGCTTAGAGCCCAGCTTGGTGTCTCTCAAGTGAAGTTCCCAAAAGCCGTGTTCCGCTGCCCTGGCACTGCCCACTGTCCTCCTGGCAGCCCCGGCTCGGGGGGGTTGACAGGGCTGTGTTCCACCTGCACTGTTCTGCCCCGGATCCTGCCCACAGCACTTAATGATGCTCCATAATTAAGTACATAATTGAGCATCAAAGTGCCACAGGCGGGTTTGCAGCTGGTGCAGGCCCAGGCACAGCTCATGCTCCCAGAGCATGTGTCACACACTGACTGATCCAGCTCTCAGAGCTTGGCTGACATGCAAACACACATGAAAAAAGGTTTGTTTTAGCTGTTCTATCCCTAAAACTTTGGTGTGACAGTTTAACACAGAAGCTCCCACAACAGCAACTGTTTGCAGCAAATAAGAACTCCCGTGTGAGGGTTTGGCAGTGCCATCCCAGCCCGGGGGATGCAGGAGCAGGCACTGGTCATCCTGCAGCTGCAGGCTGTGGCCAGAGCTGTGGTGCAGGAGGTGCTGCCATCCCTCCTGTGGGATCAGGGTGTGATGCTGTGGGGTTCTGGAGGGCAGAGAGATCTCCCTGGGCTGCTCCCTGAGCCTTGATGGGCTTCTCTTCTCCTTAAGCTGCTGGCTTTGGGATGGAGTAAGAGGCAGCTTGGCCTGCCTCCATCTGCAGGGAGCATCCCTGAGAGCCAGCTCTGCCGTAGGGCCCTGCTGTGAGGCACAGTTCCCTTGTCATGGGTGTCCACGTGCAGGTCCTTGGGCAGGGGTATCCACGTGCACAGGTGTCCATGTGTGCAGGTCCTCACCGGGCACGGGTGCCCCTGTGCCCGAGGGCAGAAGCCTGCATGGGGAAGGTCATGTGAGGGCTGTTGGGGCAGCTGTTGGGACCTAAATCTCCTTCCGGAGAGCAACTCGGATGTTGCTGCAGATCTTGGAGAGCGCCTCAAAGAACGGGTCACAGAAGGTGTGGATGCAGAGGGAGTAAATCCGACTGACGCACTGGATCTCTATCAGGTAGCTCTTGATGCAGGGCACCACTGCCCAGATGTGGCAGAAGGAGATGAGGGCAAAGAGGAAGCCCCAGATGACGGCCAGGGGGATTCCCAGGACGGCAGAGAGCAGCCGGTAGCACCAGTACTTGCTGACGGTAAAGGTGGTGTAGCTGGCTTTCCAGACACCGTCAAAGCTGTATGTTCCCACAGGCTCAGCTATCACATCCTCAAAATCCACCTGGGAGGAGAGCAGAGGGAGGTGAGGAGGGCTCAGGGGATCACAGGGGGTAAGGAGGGCTCAGGGGATCATGGGGGCTCCGGCGCAGGGACCAAGGTCGGATGCAAGGTGGGAGGAGATCCCAAAGGGGGGGCTGGGGAGGGTGAGGGCTGTGCTGGGGGGACAGAGCCCTGCACACCCCGAGTAAGGGCAAGCCCCAGTGCAGCCAAGAGTCCCTGCTCCTGCAGAGATCCCTGCAGAGTGGGACGTGGCTCAGGGCTCCTGGCACTGCCCATTCTCAGCCCGTGGGCAGCACAGTGGTGGGCATAACCCACGGCATGAGATCCCAGCCCTGCCACGGTCCCTGTCCCACCCCTGAGCTGGGAATGGTGCTCCCACGGCATGGGATCCCAGCCCTGCCACGGTCCCTGTCCCACCCCTGAGCTGGGAATGGTGCTCCCAGGTGCTGGGGCCAGGCGGGAGCCCTCGGAACAGGAGCCATGTGGGGGAGTGTTAGCTGTGGAGGTGGCCAGAGCCCACTGCTGCCCTTTTTTAGCATTCAGGGACATGGGCTGCCTGCTCAGCAGGAAGGTGTTTGTGCTAATAAAAATCCATCAGCCCTCTGGATTTATGGATTATTATTTATTCCCACAGGGATGAGGTGTCCAGTGCTGTCCATCCTCATCCCTGCTGGGGAGGGGGAGCTGGGGCTTGGCCCTGCCTTTACAGGGGTAGTGCTGTTTGTGCAGGTACTGGGGGTGTCTTTGAATGACAAACACTCCCTAAATCCTCTGAACTTCGCACAAAGATCCCCTTGGGGTGTAAGTCACTTCCAGGAAATACACAGGCTGAGCTATTTGTCTTGAAAACTATCCTGGCCTTCCCTTGGGCAGCTGAATGTGTCTGCTTGTGTATTCATGTTAGATTGCAATATCCATTCTGGTTTTGGAAGCACTTTTATCACAAAACCACTCTGCATCATCTTTAATTTCTTGGAGCTGGGAGAAGCATTGGGGTGGATGAGGAATCAGCAGCCCAAACTGCTGGTCCTGGAGTGCTGTCAGCAGCCCCAGCAAGCCCAGGTGTGCTGGAGACTAGCCCAGGTCACTGCCCAGCTGCCTGACAAGCTCATTAGGGATCAATTAACACAGGGAGCAGTGGGATATAAGAGCAGAGGCTCTGCAGCAGTGCCCCTTCTGCTGGCATTGCACTGGGAGCGGGTCTGGAGGAGCAGTGCAGGCTGAGGCTCAGACAGCCTGGATCCTGGGCACTGCCTGGAGGTTCTCAGGGACCAGCACACACAAGGTACCACTCCTTTACAGAATCATGGAATCATTTAGGGTGGAAAAGCTCTCTTAAGGTCACCGAGTCCAGCCATGGTTTGCTCTGTTGCTGTGCTTGGAGGAGGCTTGTGAAGCTCTGCAAAGCCTCTCTGGCTGATGCCACCATGGTAACAGTCCCAAATTCTGCTTGGTGCTCCGTGATGCTCAAGGAATTTATCCATGACCAGGTGAGCCCTTCATCCTGTGGAGCACTCTACTGCCCTGCTCTCCTGCTGGCTGCCTCCCTGCCTGCTGTGCTCTGGGTGTGCCATGGTATCCATGTGGGTGTTTGGAGTGTGCCCCTGCCTGCAGGGGAATGAGGAGGCCCTGGCTGTCCTTTGGGATGCTGTGGAGCAGCAGTGGGCTGAGCTGTGCTCCTGTCCTGGGGCTGATTCTGCCCTCCCTCCCCAGCCACACTGGCTGGGCTGTTTTACAGTGGAGGAATGCTGGGGAGACTGAGCTCTGAAAACTTCCAGTGCTGAGGGGGCAGCAGTGTGGCCATGTGAGTGTGTGAGCTTGAAAGGGGTTTTCTGACTTTGGAGATCCTTGAGTGGGAAAAGGCAGGGGTGGGGTGGGGGAAAGAGGCTGAAAGAAGTGGGAGGACTATGGATGGCCAGGAAGGTGCTGCCTTGCTCCCCAGGAGTAGCCAGTGGTGTCCCCAAGCTGGGGTGTAGGTGTGTGTCCCAAAGCTCTGCCTGGCCCTGGGGTGGGCCAGCTGAGGGCTGTCCTGCTCACAACAGGGTGGTGCTCCCTTTGCCTGGTACCTTTCCAAGCCCTGGGCCAAGGCTGTGGGATGCAGTGGCATGGAGCAGCACAGATGTGGGACAGTCTGCTGGGAATGTGCTGGGGATCCCGAGGTGCCAGGCAGCTGCTGTGGGCACGGTTCGTGGTGCCAGGAGGGAGCCTGTGGATGGCTGTCACTGTCGCAGCTCATCCAGAGGAATTTAATTTGAGCACACCATTGCTGTAGCTGTGACAGGGTTCTAATGCCCAAATGCAGGTTTGTGTTGCACCAGTGCAGTCAAGGTCAAAGCCTGTGTGGGCAGCTCGGTGCACGCCGTCCCTGCTGGTGTGACATCCGCTTCAACCTCTCAAACACAGTTTTAACAAAACCCTTCCACCTCCTCCTGTTCTCCTTTGGGCTGGAATTATCTGTGACACAATTATAACAGAGCTTAGAGGAAGACCAGGAGCTGGAATGGGAGTTCCTCTTGATCAGCAAAAGGGAGGGATCTGGGGAGCTGCTGCACCCCTGGGCTTCCATGGGGGGGAACAGCCTCCCACAAACAGGACAATATGCATCAAACACTGGTACTGAGACTGTTGTACCTTGATGACCAGCAGCCTTTTTCCAGGGTTCCCCTTTAATCAGTGATATTTAACTTCTGTGTTATTTTTGGCTCTCTACTTACTGGTACAAAGGAGGGTGTCTCCATGAAACTGGAGAGCACATTCAAGGAATGGGAAATATGGCATTAATCGGAGCCCACGTGCCACCCACCTGGCATCTGGGTGCCCAGGCAGTGGGGCCGTTACCTCCTCGCAGCCCCGGGGATGGTACCTCTTGGGGCACGTGGACGAGGACTGACAGCCCTGTCTGAGGTCGAGCCACACACAGACCAACATTTGAAACCTCCATCCCGGTTCCAGTGACGCTCTCCAGCCCCGTGGGGGACAGCCCTACCTTCACCACGTCCTCGTTGATGTGCTTGGGGTCTCTGTTCACCAGGTCGATCTCCTTGGTGTGCTGGTCCTTGATGATGATCCGCTCCTCCAGCTCGGTCCGTTCCTCTGCCATGGTGACCCGTGCCCGCTCTGCTCCGGAGCCTCCGCAGGGAACTGGGGCTGTGCCGGGGGAGGCCCTGGCCAGGGCAGGGTGGGAGGCACTGCCCCCCCGCCGCCCGCAGCAGCTGCCCTGCACCCCTGGCCCTGCTCCAGGCTAAAATTAATGTCGTGGCTCCTGCGGCCGCCCTGAAGTGTCCCTTAAAGGGGCTTGGCTGGGGACAGCCCCCGCTGTCACCTCAGGGGGATGGCATGTGTGGGGGTGGCTGGTGGCCTTTGAGCCACGGCGGGGGTGGCACTGGGGGCGGGTGTGCAGACCCCCTGCCCAGCTGTGCCAGTGGGATTTTCTCCTTGTGTAGGAGTAAAGATGACCAAATTGGGGCAAAAGTCCTCAAAAGCCTGAGAGAAAGTGTTGTTTGAGGAAAATTGTTTACAAACCTGTAAATGAAGGAGCTCAGGGGAGACAGGAATCTTGTCTATAAATATTGCCCAGAGAAGCCACATTGTCCTGGGATGACCAGTGAGGCTTGTGGTCCCTCTGGAGACCAGGAGAAGGCTTGTGGTGTCACCTTGGATGCCTCTATTTCCAGCTTTTTCAACCAGAGAAACTCGAGGAAATACAAGACATCAACCCACAGATCCATAGTGGTCAGGATATCTCCTCCATGGACACTGCCCACAGTGACAGTTAGCATGCTAATGAAGATACATTTAACTTGGATTGTATTTTACTAATAATCTCCAATGTCTTCTGTGTGCTCTTGGCTTTCATGAACTGAAGATTTGTTTAAAAGTAATGGTTTTGTGAAAAAAAAACACAAAATGGGGGTAGAGGAGGGGTAGAGAGGGAAGGATGTTTAGCTCCTTAGGGACAGGTAGAGAGGGAGGGATGGATGACTCTTTAAGGAGCCTGAGGTGCCCAAAGCTGCTGAGTGTAGAAGTAGCTGCTTCAGAGCCCTTGTGCTCAGCTGGCACTGGGGGGGAGATATTTTAAGGCAAAAGGCTCTGCTGCCTTCCAAAAACATCAGTGCCTGGGCAGTGCTGTCTTTATCAAACCCATGTGGCTGCATGCCTGGAGCTTTCAGCTTTCACCACTGTGATGGGGCTGTTCCAGACCCTTGATATAATACAGTGCAAAAATGGGATTGGGATCTTTCACTGAGCTGAGAAGTCCAATGTGGTGTTAGAGGAGTCCAGATGTGTTCATTTTTCCTCTAGAGTTTGTGATAGCAAGGGCCTGGCTGAGTGTGACTGCAGGTCCAAGGCTGCCAGGTTTCTCAAACTCCTTTTTTTCAGTATTTTTTTCTGGTGTCAGGTTGATGCCTTGGTCTGGAAGCTGTTTTTGTTGGCATTTCAGCTCTAGTGGAAGCTGATGTGGTGATGCTCCGGGGTGTGGTACATCTGAAAGTAAGGTGAATGCAGCTTGTCAGGGACCTCCCTGACTCCTGTGGGGAGAGAAAGGGCAGAACTGTGGTGGGCAAGTAACAATGTGAACTCACAGGATCCTGCAAAGGCACAGGGGGCACCTATGGAGAGGGGACAAACTCTGGAAAGGGATGTGAGCGTGGGGCTGTGGGTGTAGATCTGGGCAGGTTGTTTCTGGAGAGAAATGCCCCTGTCCTGGGCAAAAGGATACTAGAAAACCCTTTGGCAGCACTGGTTTCATATCCCTGTATCTCCCTCTGCTTCTACACGGCACCTGGAAGAGCCCAAACCCAGGGTGGGCTGGTGGTGGAGATAAAACCTCTCCACGCTCCAAAGCTTTGGGCAGCAGCTCCAAGGCCAGACTCGTTCCCTCCTGGCTGTGTCCTCTGTCAGAGCTCTGTGGCCCCAACTGCTCGATTGCTCAGCACTTCAGGACAGATTGTGAAGGATGTTTTTGCAAAATCAGCTGTTTTCTGCAGTCTGGGAGCCCAGGAATGTGCTCTGGAGCGAGCAGAGCTGAGTGCGTGCGGATCTGTGGGCAGGGCAAGGCCTTGGCCAGGAGCCAGCACCGAATTTAGGAGGCACAGCTGCTCTGCAGGGCTGGCCTGGACAGGGGAAGTGTGACAGGAGGCTCCCCTGATTTTCCTGGCCTGTCCCACCTGGAAGGCTTTGCCCAGGAAGGAGGGGTTGGGTGCCTGCCCTGCCCGTGGTCAGGGGGCTCAGCTGGCTGCCCCCTCCCCGGGGTGTGCAGGGAACAGCAGTGCAGTGCTGGGGGGCAGTGGGGGCTCCCCCTGCCCCCGGCTCCGGGTGGGATTTCTGATGGCATGAGTCACTGGCTGTCTTTAGGCTGGGCTGGGCTGTGCCCCCGGGCACAGGGCTCTGGTGTCCCAGGCGTGGGAGGAGGAGAATGTGCACCCACGCAGTGGGCAACGTGCAGGTAGTAAATGTCTCGAGTAGCGAGGAGAGGGAGGAGAATATTCTGTTGCACTGTAGATGCTATAAATAAATGTATTTCCGAGCATGTTAAGGCTGTGAATGGGACACTGTGTAAAAGTGGAGAGTCACATACACGGCAGAGGGAGAGCAGGAGATGCTTGCTCAGGGCTGCTCCGGTCCCTCCATGTGCTCTGCAGGACAGAACTTTCCCAAAACAGTTGCTATGGAAGTTTTTTTATTGCAAGTGGTAAAACACTGGCACAGGTTGCCCAGAGAAGCTGTGGCTGCCCCATCCCTGGAAGTGTCCAAGGCCAGGTTGGACGGGGCTTGGAGCAACCTGGGCTAGTGGAAGGTGTCCCTGCCCATGGCAGGGGGTGGATGAGATGAGCTTTAAGGTCCCTTCCAACCCAAACATTCCATGAAATACTTGCTTTGCCCCAGTGCTTGGAGTGGGTGCTGCTCCCTTCAGTGCTCCTCCACACATCCAGGTGTGAGCTGGCATCCATGGACACCTGCTGGAATTTGTGCCCAGCTGCACTGGGATCCAAATCTTTCATTTTGAGAACATTTGTTAGGAGACCTGGTGATGATTTTCCCTCTGTAGTTACCATTGCTCCCCCCACCATTGCCTCGGGTCTGGGGCTGCTGTCCTGCCTCCTGCAAGGGTCAGGGGGGCTCTTGGGTTTAGGCTGGTCCTTCAGCCCTGAAGGACTAAGGAGCACAGAGGATGCTGAGGGCAGGGATGTGATGGCAGTGGAAATCATGGCTGGCAAATACAAGTTTGAGTAGAAGCTCTGTCATGTTTAATATCAATTAAAATTAAATTTCAGTGAGGAAGTACAGAAGAACATTCATTTATCTTTCAAGATGTTGCCTTAAATTGTTTCTATTCGAAGAGTCTTGCCCTTTAAAAGACAGAGAAAGTCTATGAATATCAGATTCATGCCCCTGTGATACACAACCACCCAACCTCTCTGCATCCTGGTCTCTGTTGTAAGTGCTGGGAGAGGAGCTGGAGACCTTCTCCTGGTGGGGATGCTGTGGGTGCTCTGCTGGGCTGGGGGCAGGTGGGTGCTGCCACCTCTGCAGCCGTGAGCTGGAGGGGGCAAGTGTGGGGTCACAGAGCAGAGCCTGGGCTGTCCTGATGGAAATCCTGCTCTTTGGGAATCCCTGCAGGGTGTCAGAGCTCAGCTGTGACACCAGATGTGTGAGGCTACCTTTCATCCCATGGTCTAAGATCAACAGTTCTTTTTGTCTTAAGTGTGAGTTGTGAGCTGCTTTTTGCTCTGGACACCTGTCTCCTGAGTCACAGGGATGCTGGGTGGGCACCAGCTGCCACCAGACCCCTGGGTCTGGGGTGTTGCCCCCTGAGGACAGGGCTGCCCTCCAGCAGGGACACAGCAGGGTGGAGAAGAGATGGAACCCATTAAGACACAGGTTTCTGCTTTCAGTGCTGTGTTTTTAATGGTGCCAGTGCTCTGAGTATCACAAGAACCATCTTCAACTGCATCTTCTGTGGCACAGCTCGGCAGGCACTAATTGAGACCGTGAGTGGCTGCTGCTAATTCCCTCTCAAGCATGTTCTTATGGCTGTGGGCAAAGCTGGGTTTAAAATGTTGAACAGATGACTGGCCTGTATCGGATTAGGGGAGATAGATCTGTGCTGGGGGCTGGAGGAGCAGCTGCCCTTCTGGCTGATGGAGCTGAGGCTGAGCAGGGCTGAGGGGTCTCTGGCAGTGGAGTCTCACCTGCCCCAGCTGAACCAGGCACTTTGCAGTGCTGCCTTGGATGGTGCCAAGGCTGCTCCAACTAAAACCAGCTTTGGGTAACTCATGGGATGTTGTTCCTCCTCTGCTGAAGGTTTGGGAGGACAGTTCTGGAGTGGCCCCTTTCAGCTTGTGTTTATGTCGCCTCCTAATCTCAGCTCTTCTCTCTCACACCAGCACTCTAAATTCCTTTGGATTTTCATTTTAAAATAGCCTCACTTGCTTTTCCTTATCGAGCAAGTCTTGTCTTGATTTATCACTTATGACATAACCAACAGGGTAGTTGAGATAATCAGAGTTAACTAGTTGTTGTGCTGCTGGTTACAATGGGGGTCCCAGCCTGCCTTTGGCTGGCCTTTATGCTGGTGTTATGATTTATTTTTTTTTTTTGAATGCAAAAACAAGCAGTAGAACAATGCTTTCCCTTCCAGCGTGGAGGGCCGTGGCTCTGAGCTGCAGGATGAGGAGCCAGGTACTGGGGGGGCGCTGCCAGTGGGCAGATCCCAGTCATGGCTCGGGGGAGTGCCCTTATCCAGCTACAGGGTATGCAGTGGGAAGCCAGGTGGTTAAATTTGTTTCACTGACAAGAAAATGAGCCCCAACAGGGGCTTTGTGATACAGGTTTAAGGTAAGAGAGTGTCTGTGTGTGCTCTGTGACGAGCACTCTAAAAGAGCTCTCCTGGCCTGGGCTCAGCCAGCTACAAAACTCCTTGTCAGGACTAAACTCGCCTGTGGCAGTGGCCAGTCCTTCTATGACAGCAAGCTGGGCTCTGTGTACCCCAGCCCTGGGTGAGGAGAGGGAGGCAGTGGAGCTGAAGTGCAGAGTGGTGTCTGTGAGTGCCCAGCAACAAGGGAAGATGCTGCTCTGTGGGTGCTGCCGGGGCCGAGCTGTGCAGAGAGGTTTGGCTGGTGTC